AGAGGGCGAGGAATTCCCGTTACACGTCGTGGTTGCTAGTGTATACGCTCGCCCTCATACCAAGATCAGCCCCATCACTGCTGCGTCTCTGGCGGACCTGCCGGCTGATGACCCTCCTCCTCCCCCTCCTCCTCCCACGTGTCGTCCTAGTTGTCCTCCATCCCCATCCCTCCTCGATCGTCCTCCCTGCCTCCCTCCTCCGCCATGCCTTCTTCCACTCCCTGCCTTCTGCCTCTCCCTACATCCATCGAGAGAAAGAGAGAGAGGGGAAGAGAACAAACCATGATCGACCCACGAACCTGGAAAGAGATTTGGAACTGCGAGGCATGGAAACGTTTCAAAGGAACCCTATTGGGCGATGGGCCGTGGCAACGCAGACGATATCGATGGTAATGATACTGTGCCAGGGGCTGTGTTGTGCTGCGCTGCGCTGTGCCGCACAGTGACGTGCCATGGTACGCGCCAAAGGACATGCCACAGGACGCGCTGCGGGACATGCCGCGCAACCTCCCAAAGAACGCGCCAAGGGACATGCCAAAGGACGTGCCACGGGGCCCACCGCGCGACGTTCCGAGATCACGCGCCACGGACCGTGCCAATGGACGTGCCACGGGACGTGCCAGGGGATGCGCCGCGCGATGTGCCATGGGACGCGTCAAGGAACGTGCTACGAGACGCGGCACGTGACGCGCCAGACACGCGCCAAGCGACGCGCCGCGGATCCAGCTCCTAGGATCTTTGCGCCTCGTTATTAATCAAGATGTCAAAGGCCACGTGATCTGTCAAACTTACGCTGCGTATTCGCTCCCTGGGCTACGATCCATCGCAAATCCCGCTGGGCCCGCACTCCCTGAGCTACGATCACTAGTAAACGATGCTGCGTCCGTTCCCCCAAGCCCACGGTCACTCGTAAATCATGCAGCGTCCGCGCTCCCAGTGCCACGACCCCTCGCAAACTGCGCTGGATTCGCGCTCCCAGTGCCAAGATGCCTCATACATTACGATCGATCCCTGGTAAAGTACGCGCAGATATGCCGAAGGTATGCAGAAGGTACCCTTCAAGGCAATTACGTCAGACACACTCGTTGAAGTCACGCTGAAACTACGCAGTTTCTGTATAGATTTTGCTCAGAAGCGTTATAAGGGGTACGCCGAAGATCCGATGAAGGTACGCGTGTCCAAACCAGCGAAGTTACCTTGAAGGCATGCCAAGGGATACAGGAACAGATGGGGGGAGGACAGACCCCACACCCACCCCCGCTCCCACAGACCCTCGCTCCCCCAGACCCCGCGGACCCAGAAACGAACCCAATACGACGGGGCAGCGCTCCCAGGGCCGCGATCACTAATAAATCGCACTGCGCCCGCGCTCCCAAGGCAATGGTCCTTCGTGAATCACGCCGCGTCCGCGCTGGGCCTTCGTAAATCAAACTGCGCCCGCTTCCCCCCAAGACAACGGTCCGTCGTGAATGTCGCCGCGTCCGCGTTCCGAGGGCCACGATCCCTTAGTCGCGCTCTCAGTGTCATAATCTCTTTGGGAAACACTCTGGAGTTGCGGTCCCAAGGCCACGATCCCTGGTAAAGTACACTGGGTTCACGCTCCCAAAGCCACGGCCCCTCTTAACTTACGTAGCGACCTCGATACCAGGACAGCGATCCCTCATGAATTGCGCTGCGTCCACGCTCCCAGGGCCACGAGCTCCGTGAATTAATCTAGGTTCGCGATCCCAGTGCCCCGATCCCTTGTAAAGTACATTGCGTCTGCGCCCCCAGGGCCACGATCCCGACTAAAATTGCAATGTGTTCGCGCTCCCAGCGCAGCGAACCCTTGTAAATTACGCTGGGGTCGTGCTCCTAAGGACACGATCCTTGATACATTACAGTGGGCTCACGCTCCCAAAGCCACGCCCCCTCGTAAAGTACGCCGCGCCCGCGCTGACAAAGCAACGATCCCTCACGAATTGCGCCGCGTACGGGTTCCCAGGGCCAAGATCTAAGGTAAACGACGCTGGGCCCGCGCTCCCCATGCAACGCCCCCTTGTAAAGTGGACTGCGTCCGCGCTCTCAGGGCCGCGAACCCTTGTAAGTTATACTGGGTTCGCGTTCCCAGCGCAGCGAACCATTGTAACGTACGTTGGGGTCGCGCCCCGAAGGGCATGATCCATAGTAAAATACGTTGTGTCCACGCACACAGGGCCACAATCCATCGTAAATGACACTGGCAGGCTGGGTTCGCGCTCCGAGGGCCACGGTCCCTAATACATAACGCAGGGTTCGCGCTCTGGAGGCCACGATCTCTAGTAATCTATCAGAGTGAAGGGGCCGAACGGTCATTCACTGTCCCTGGGTGCGTGGCTGAAGTGGGATTTCGCGGTGCGGATTATCGTTATTGTTGTGTGATGTTGTTTGTTGTTGTGTGTTGTTGTTGTCTGTTGTCGTCGTCCCACCCGCAACCCGCCCCGCGACCCACCCGCGACCCACCCCGCGACCAACCCGCGACCCACCCCGCGACCCACCCGACCCACCCCGCGACCCACCCCGCGACACACCCCGCGACCCACCCGCGACCCACCCGCGACCCACCCGCGACCCACCCCGCGACCCACCCCGCGACCCACCCCGCGACCCACCCCGCGACCCACCCCGCGACCCACCCCGCGACCCGCCCGCGGCCCACCCCGCGACCCACCCGCGACCCACCCGCGACCCACCCGCGACCCACCCGCGACCCACCCCGCGACCCACCCGCGACCCACCTTCGACCCAAACCACTTTCAAGGTACAAACCATAATTTTCGGCGCCTGCGGCGGGCTTTTTTGGCATTCCTTCCAGGCGGAGAGCCCGCGACCCACCCCGTGACCAACTCGCGACCAACCCGCGACCCACACCACGTTCAGGGTACAAACCACATGTTTCGGCGCCTGCGGCGGGCATCATTTGCATTCGTTTCAGGTGGAGAGCCCGCGACCCACCCGCGACCACGTTCAGGGTACAAACCAATTGTTTCGGCGCCTGCGGCGGGCATCTTTTGCAGTCGTCCCTGGTGGAGAACCCGCGGCCCACCCGCGACCCATTCCACGTTCAGTGTACAAACCAATTTTTCGGCGCCTGCGGCGGGCTGCTTTTGCATTCCTTCCAGGTGGAGGTGGAGAGCCCGCGACCCACCCGCGACCCAAACCACGTTCACTGAACAAACCAATGCCGCACAAGCGCGGCGGCGGATTTTTGCATGCCGTCTGCGCCCGCAACGACCTCTTCAAACCCCGCGCATCCACACCAGCCCGTCCAGCAACGTTGCCCTGGCGGGTTGCCTTGATCAGAGAAGTCGGGGAGCATAAAGTGGAAAAAAGGATTGCGTTGCCGTTATCTTGGGAAAGGAGGGGGAGGCAGGAGGAGTAAACAGGGGACGAGGAGGACGCGAAAGAAGAGAGGATGTAAGGAGAATGTGGAGAAAGAGGAGGAGGAAGCAGGGCAGGCGACGAGGGGAGGAGGGGGGGAGGAGGACGAGGAGGGGGGGGAGGGGGATGATGATGATGATGATGATGATGATGATGATGATGATGATGATGATGATGATGATGGTGATGATGATGTTGATGCTGATGATGATGATGGACGACAACGGGAGGACGATGATGGAGGCCGACGACGGGGTGGACGACAATGGGAGGACGATGATGGAAGGACGACGGGGGGAGAGGGAGGACGAGGAAAAAGAGGAGGACAAGGTGGAGGAGGAGGATGACGATGACGACGAAGACGAGGGCGAGGAAGAGGAGGAGGAGGAGGAGGACGAGGAGGAGGAGGAGGAGGAAGACGAGAGCGCCATCGACAAAAAACTGGGGGCCACGAAGTCAGCCGACTCGACGACGTCCGCGTCGCCCGCGCCCGCCCCCTCACTCTTATCCGCAATTGCGGGGCGCTATGTAATTTATTATGGGTTCGCGCTCTCAGGGCCACTGTCCTTCGTAAACGCACACTGCTCCCGCGCTCCCAAGGCCACGATCTCTTGCAAAGTACGCTGCGTCCGCGCTCCCAGGGTCACGAAACACAACGCGGGAGGTTGCCCAAAGTTCCTCCCTCTCAGAGCAGAGACGAATACTCTTCTGTGATGGGATATGTGTTCGGGAAGCGTTTTTTCGGACCCGCCACCATTTCCTGAAAACCAAGCGCTGGACCCGAAGCCGCGAACCCAAGTAAACTAAGCTGCGTCCGCGCGCTCACGATACCTCGTAGATTACACTGGCTTCGCGCTCCCAGGGCCGCGATCCCTTTCAAACTACACAGGATCCACGCTCCCAGGGCCACGGTTCCCAGACGCTGGCGTTGAGAGTTCAGTCGCAGCGTAGGAAGGCTATGTTGGGGCTGATGGATTTTGATGGCCTCGCAAACGTCTTTGTTTGATGGCCTGTTTTTCGGCCCGCGGTGGGATCGACGAAACCCTGATCGCAAGTTTTTTGCGGCATCGGGGCTGCGAAAAAATGTGATCATCCCACGAGCGGGCCCCATCGGGCCGACGACTTTTCGGCATCGTTTCTTGATGGCCTGATGGCGAGGCCCCAAGAGCCTGGCCACAGCTCGAATCAAATATGCGACCATATCGTAGCATTATCCCGTCGGCTGCATCGGCCCCAAAACGCGCTCAGAAACGAGGCCCCGCCTGTCACGCGGAAGACTCACAAATGGCGTTCCCCTGCTCAGAGAAAGGCGCGCGACTGACGAGGAGGAGGAGGATGAGGGGGAGGAGGACGAGGGGGAGGAGGAGGAGGAGGAGGAGGGACAGGGGGAGTAGGAGGAGGAGGAGGAGGAGGAGGAGGAGGAGGACATAGGTAGACGAACTGGGGGAATGAGCGGGCTGAGGAGTTGAGTATTGGAGACTGTAATGGCGACCCATGCGTTCGACGATGGCACTGATGCTGATGATGACGATGGTGCTGTTTATTGTATGTTTGGGCACAGGGCGGCACAGTGCCGCCTAAGCGTTCTTGGCCTCCTGGGCCTTCTCCGGGATCTGGCGCAAGATCCTGTTGGCCGGCACTCCGCGGTCGGCAACCGCGTCCAGCTCCTTCCTGATGTCGTCCTTCACGGCCTCGGCAGGCTTCTTCAACAACTGCGCCAATGCTGCCTCCGAGACCGTCGTGTTTGCACTCACCAGCGTCTCCTTGAATGCGCTCACGCACTCCGAAAGGACGTCGCCGAACTCGAACTTTCTGGCCGTCGGGCGGGCCTTGCCCACAGCATCCCTGTACTCGACCAGGGCCGAGTTGATCGTCTTGCCGAGTTTGTTCTGAAACAACGTCTGCTTGGCGTGGGCCGCCACGTCGTCGCGCGATTGGTCCTCGGTCAGGCCTTCTTCCCAGGAAAAACCGTCTGGCATTCCACCCGCCACCGAAGCAATCCTCTCCTGGATCCTCTTGATGGCGTGCATCGTGCCGTCGGTCACGGCCCCCGGGTACTTCGCAGCTAGGCCGCGGCGCTCCGCCACCGAAGCTCCCCACTCCCCGTTGATGCCGTCGATCGTCAGCGCGCCGTCGATGGTGACCCCATCAGGGCCATTCGGCGGCGACGCGCCCACCTGGCCCAGTGCAGCCTTCAGCGCGCCCCAGGACGCGACGCCCTCGTCGCCAGACATCACCTGCGCGCCCACGTCGCCGAGGGCCGCCAAGCCCTTCTTCATCTGGATGGCAGTGCAGATCGCCATGATATGGCCGAGGCGAATGTTCAAGCCATTCAGCGCGTCGGTGCGGGGGTCCTCGCGCACGAGCAAGATGCAACTCATCGCGGCGTCGGCCTGGTCCTTCATCGTGCTCGCGTCGATCGGGTCGAAGGCGGCGTCGGGGCTGCAGAACGACAGCTTGCACAAGTTGATCGCAGCCACCTCGAAATCCGTCGCCGCGCCAGCGCCAGCAAAGACCTCGCCGTTTAAGTCAAGCACCGCCGCCTTCAACTCTGACATCCCCTCGAGCGTCAACCCGTCATCATCCTCGGGCGGGGGGGTGGGGGCGAGGATACCAGAATACACCCAGGTGGTCCGAATGGCAGGGCCCCAAGGCCCTTGATAAGAACTGGTTTGCTTCATCGGCCACGCTCGTAAGCGCGTGCGTTCGGCGCCGCCCTCAGCCCGCGCGCCGAAGGCAACCCCGAATGCGCGCACATAAGAGCGCGAACCGCTGGGGCCGAGCAGCAACGAGGCCGCGGAACAGTCGGGTCGGGGAGGGGTCGGGGAGAACTGCGCTAGATCATTGCATCGGCCCCGCTGGAGAAAACACGCCAGGACCATGGAACACATGAGCTGGTAAGGCCACTAGAGGCCACACTCTCTTATCAGGGGGTCAAGTGGGTTTCAGGTCCTGGACGGGTGTGTTGCGAGGGGTGGGCAACGTCAATTTGCACCCGATCTCACGGGTGCAACTCCGCATGCATTCCAACACCTTCTCGCGCTTCTTCTTGCTGGTGATCGAGGCCGCCACCGCCTCCATCCCCTCCGCGGCGGCCGCCAGCTTGGACACGACCAGGACGCCACTCGCCTTCGTCGACTTGGCGGCCGCCGCCACGTTCGAGATGGCCTCGCAGACCTGCCTGGCGGACTCCTGGGTCAGGGCAGCGTCGGAATCGTAGTCGTAGGAGGCGACGGCATCGACCCACTCGGCGAAGGCCTCCTCCAAGCTGGACGCGCCACCAGTGCGACTGCCGTCAACCCACCCCCTCATGCGGCGGGACACCTTCACTATATCTGGGATGTTCCTGGACTTCACAACGCCCACCGCCGCCGCAATCTCTGGGCCGATCTGGAGGTTAGAGAGGGCGTACTCGAGGTACTCTTTGGTCATGGCTGCCCACTTCGGGTTGGAATGCAAGCTGTCGGCGAAGAGCTCCCACTCCTTGCTGCGCGTCCCGTTCAACAAAGCCCTGCTGGTAGCACGGTCGGCAATGTTGTCCGTTGCGTTGGGGCTCGGGTCAGAGATCACCAACAGCGCGTCGGCGGCACACTGCAACGTACGAGCGAGATCGATGAACTCCTGTATGGCGCACTCGCCACTAGTGATGGCGCCGCTCTCAATCTTCAAGTGCTTCGCGGCGTCCCTCACGAGCTCGACAGATGCTGAACCTGCGGCGACCACCTCTGCAACGAAGGAAGTGAGAAACATATCGAGGCACACATCGCATTTCTCCTTGTGGCTCAGCCGCAACTGGAACACCCGCGGACGCTTGACCTGGAACTCGACGACCGTGCCGATAGTCTCTGCAGGGGCCCATGGCAGAACCATCTGCACAATGTCCTCGCCAGACTTAGTCTCTGACACGAGCTTCCCGATGAGCCTGCGCTGGAACGACGTTGCGTCGATGACATCATCAGCGCCGAAGAGGTCGAGCATGTCGTTCCTCTCCTTGACCCCCATCGTGTTCAAGTTGGCGTGGAGGCTCACGGCGGCGTCGACCTTGGCAAGGTGCGTGGTGCGATTGATCTCGATGCCGCGCATCTGGGGCCTGAAGCGGCGGAGGGCGTACGTGCGGTCGCCAACCTTGCCACCATCGAGCATGGTGCTGACGGGCGTCTCCCCGATGAGCTCATCGAGGCGGGCCTTCTCGGAGCACGATGGTGACGCCGAGCCCGCGCGGCCGCCGCCAGGGACGCTCCTGCTGCGGCCAAGATGGGAAACCACCGACGACCTGGCCTTCGTCGACCTGGCGACCTTGGCGGCGGCACCTCGGAGCCTGACGGTGGATGCATGCAAGCTCACGTTGTCATGCTGAGCTTCCTCGCCGCCGCTGCTGGAGCCACCTGATCCCTCATCATCGTCGGAACCGCCCACCTCATCCTTGACAGCAGCGGCGCCGCCTGCAGCGGCGGCCGCAGCGGCAAAGCCTGCAGCTCGCAAGCCACCGCCGCCGCTGCCAGCGGCCCCAGTCTTGACAACCTGATGAGGACCCCAAGACCTCCCACCGAGGGCCCGCGCGACCCCTCCCCCCTGCCCCCCGCCAAAGCCCACCAAAGCCCACGTGGGCCCGAGAGGTTCCCAAGTACGGCCCCATCATTCCCCCCCGCGGCCTTTGCTTCTACATCGGTGTGCCCCCCTCAACCTCAACCCCCATCGGCGATGAGGCACCCGACAGCGAACCGCTCTCAAGCAGCAAGCATTACATGGTTGGGCGATTGGCTGCAACCCCCCCCCTCCACTGAAACCGCGAACGCACCCTGCCCTCCCCCACGGAGGTTGGCGCTGGAAGGAGCTGCAAGGACATCCAGGGCACTGGGGGGAGGGTTGGCAGGAGGGGTCGCGCGCGGCGGTGGAGGCCATGACGTCCTCTGACGCCTCTTCATCAGTGGCTGTCGCTCCAACGCCCCGGGCGAGCTTCGCCCCCTTCAGCTGATCCACCAACGAGTCGATGGTGGGCGGCTTGACGTGACCGCGAAGCTCCACGGGCAACGCCTTCACGACCGTGCCCAGCGCCCTTTTCAACTCTGCCTCTATCTGCGCTTCTGTGAGCGCCGCCTTCCGACTCAAGGTGCATGCGACCTTCTGGCACTTCACGGCGGTGAGCGCCTGCACCTCCACGGCGGGCTTGTCTGGGTGAGCAGCGCAGATGCTTTTTCAGCTTGGCCTTGGTCAATGGCACCAAGACCGACTTAGTTTAGATGGCAGTCTCGGCCACCGTGACATTGCCACCAGCAATGGCCTCCAGCGCGTCAGACTTCAAGCAGATGTAGTTCCCCAGCGAGTGGTAGCCCTGCTCGACGACGGCGTTGACTTCGTCCTGGTCGAACGTGGCAGCCGCTGGATTGCTCGAGACCTCCTTCGCCAGCTCGGCCTTCTGCTTGTATGCGGCGCCCCCCTTGACCTTGGCGCAGTGCTTGGTCCACGTGATCTCGTCGATGAAGGCGCGCATGCACGGCTCCCAGCAAGCCGAGCGCGCGGTGCCGACCCCGCCTTGCGCGCTGGGGTCCTCTGGCCACGGGGTCGACAAGTCCGAGCGGTGAGCGCCGCGCTGGCCACGCGTCACTGCATCTGATGCTGAGGCAGACTCCTTATTCTTCTTCCTGGGCGCCGCGGTGACAAGCTCAACCACCGCTGCGCCATCAGATGCCTCCCCCTCCTTCACGCGGGTGTTGCCCCGCTTGCCCATGCCTCCCTGTGCCGAAGCATACCGTAGACCGTAGAAAGTGGCAAGCCTCAACAGTGAACAGCCAGCAGTGATCGTCAAACATACAGCTTGTAGCCAAACACGGCCTCGGCAACAAAGATCGACACGCGGTAAACGCGGGCGCTGCAAGCTCGCCCAACGCCGCCAGGCGACAAACGATTACCACGCAAGCGAAGCGTGGGCCTTCGAAGTCACGTAAGCTCGTCACGGCCTGCCACCGCTTGAGACAACATCACAAGTCGAGGTCTGGGCCTGCGACGGGAAACATGCGTTTGCAACCCGCCATGGGATGCGACTTAAGATCAGGACGCCACGGAACCCAATGCAACGCAGTGCGGCTCAAGTGGGCGCGCTTCGCACATCACCCAGATTCCGACGCCAAGCGCGCCCCGATGCAGTGACACGACCACGCGGTGTTTAGGCGTGGTGCGATGTAATGCGGTGAATGCGGTGGTTCGCTAGTGATGGTGCAATCTATGGCACAACGCATCCTGGCGTACATGGCATGCAACACACATCAGGGCCCATCGTGGGGCCACCTGGGCAATGGCAGTGCCACGTTGGGCCTACCTTGGCCTTAAGATCGGCTCTCCCATGTCCCCCCCCCCCCCCCCCTGGAAGGAGCTAACGCCAATACTGGCTGAGAAACAATATCGGCCACCTTGCCCCGCAAACAATGTGCAGCTTGGGATCGTCGCCATGCCGTCTTGGGCCAGCTGGGACCGCATTGAGGCTATATTGAAGCCATCGAGGGCCAGCCAGGCACGCCTCGGGCGCGGCGGGTAGCCCTAGCGGGCGCGAAGGCAGAGCGAAGCGTGCTCCAATACCGTCCACTCAGCTGTACCCAGGGGGGCGTCGGAGGGAACTGATCACCGCCAGCGCTGCCTGAGGGCCAATCTCAGCCACTTTGCCCCGCAAGCGCTGCACATCTTGGGGTCGCCTCAGTGCCATCTGGGGTACCCAATCGCTCTCAGGGCCATATGGCTGGCCACTCCTCCGAAGCCATGTTGGCGATTGGAGTTAAAGAAGTGTGGCAGCGAGCTCGCAACAAGGCAGATATTTTCCGTATCGCGGGAGCGCAAAACGCATGGCGCGCCCCTGCTCACCCGAGGGCCCCCACCCGTCCGCGCCCCCAAGGCCCCGCGGGCCTCCGGGAAGCTCAATGGAAAGCCCCATTGGCCCATGGCCGGCTCATGCCGCGCGCTGCGGCGTCGGAGACACTCACGTTCGAGATGAGAGCCACGCTGCTTGCGCGCCAGCGAGCCCCCCCCACCCACCCCCCCCCCCCCCCCCCCCCATACCACCCCACCCCCCCCCCCCACCCCCCCCCCAAGCAGACGTGGAGCGGGTCTTAGGTATGCGAACTGGGACAGGGGGGCATGCGTGCTTCCGTCTACGGCGGCAATCTACCGACATGAGCGGGGCAGTTCGTAGGACGGAAGATGTCGACATGTATGTTGCCGTGGGGGGGGGGGGGGGGGGGTCGTGCACAGCACGGGAGTTTCGTATCTATGTGGTGGCGAACAGCGCGCACTCGTAGACAAGACAGTTCTTCCCACATCAATTGGCTGGTGGCTGGTCTCCGCACGACGGAGTTTCGCCCATCTCACACACACGGGACGGCGTGGGGCGGGCTCGTAGACGCGAGTTTCGCCACCTACGATGTGGGCGGGGCGGGCCCGTAGACGGGCATTTCGCCACCTGCGGAACGGGCGGGGTGAGCGCGACTATCGGCGCACCCCCAGGGCACCAACATTCGGCCACGAACGCTTGAATCGGCCACCCCGCAAACGCCCCAAAGCTTCTCAGCCCCCCCCCCCCCCCCTAGGGCCCCCGGGGGAGTGGAGCAACGAACCCGGGCGCCACCAAGGCCATTGCGGTTTCGGGCGAGGGACACGCGGCCGCGACGAACGAAGGGGAGCAGAACACTGTGCGTGGACTGAGTCGCAGGACATTGGGGACGGCAGAGGGTGGAAACATGGGTCTCCTGCCGTGGTGGAAGGGGGGAAACGCGATGTGCCATCACTCGATCCTGCCCACAGCACCTGGGTACGCCGATGGGTTGTGACACTGGTGAGCAGCAGCATCCCTGATAACACACGCGCGCACAGCACAGCATGGCCCATCGCGCGTGGACTGGATGCTGGACCCAAAGAAGCCGAACCACCCGCGCTGAGCAATATAATTCCTGAACCCACTGCGCGCGGCGATGAGACCACCTGGGCCCATGGCCTTCGGAGGCCCGCGTCAGCACCAACGCGCTGAGACTCAGGAACGGCGGGCCCGCATTCCACGCACATTGCGATGCCAGCTCAGACGGGGCACCCCCTGCAACAAGAACCTGGACAGGCACAGCATGCAATGGCCTTAGAGCACCGCGTGCGCGATCGCGCAGACTGTCGTGCAAGTTGCCGCCGCGACGGCCCCAGGACACTTAGACGTGCTTGCGAGCACCACAGTAGCCAATGAACGGCGCCGCGCGCCTTCCCGTCGTGACGAGCAGCACATGCAACAAAGGAGGCAGGAGACTGATGAGGAGGAGGCACGAAGGCAAGGTGCGGAAGAATGAGGAGGATCTGCGCGGAGCAGGAAAGGGTGGGCGACGAGGAGGATGGGGGGCGGTGGGCGGCGTAAGGATGCAAGGCTCAAAGCACGAGGGGGAGTGATGAGGGCGGGCCCCGGACGGAGAACCCCCCCCCCCCCCCTCGTCTTCTCATTCGCATTCTCCTCAGCCCTCCTCATTCCGAACATCGCCAACCTCCTGGACAGCACAGCCTGCCCCGCGACATGTCCCTCTCCAGCCCCTGACGCTTCAGGTCGTAAGACAGGTGGAGGGGTAGCACGCATGACCGATCGGGTGAACAATGAAGAGGTAAGCAGTGGGGAGGGATACGCGTAGATGGGGATGGCTCGTGAGAGCCTTCGCGGGCAAGGGTCAGACACGTGAGCAAGATGACAGAGAGAGTTCAGGCGAGGCTGATGGGCCATGGCTTACGGCGCCCGGTGCCCCCCAGTGGTTTTGGGCTCTGGTTTTCAGAAGGCCGAGAAGGGAGGGGGGGACTTGGCCGACGGCGCAGAGAGAAACGAGTTCCAAGGACGCTCAGGATGCTTAGGGCAGACCCCCTGGATATGACCTAGGCGGCTCGTAAGGCTGATGGGTAAGGGACAGGGTTGGGAAGAGAACGCCTCGGACGTCGCCAGTGGGTCTGAAAAGCTGGCGGTGGCCCTCAGGGGGCCAGCGTGAGTAAAAGACGGCCCAGGGACTGGGGATGCCAACAAAAGCGGCCCAGGGTGCTACATATTCTACATATTCAAGCGGCGGGGGGAGGACGGAAGGGCCCCCAAGAAATATAGAGTGGACGCCGGTGTCGCCCTGAGCGAAATGGAAACTGCACTGCTTCAGTGAAACGGCGGATCTGACGCTGGCGCGCGCCCGTTGGGGAGGCCCGCTGCCGCCATGTCCACGGGGTAGGTCGGCGTCTTCGGCGCGGACT